TAGGTGTGGATGGTAGTAGAGGCCTATACTACCGGAAGCACAGGACTCGCACTTGGATCAGGGAAAGTCACAAGGTTCCCAAGAAACTAGTAATTGATTCCGTTTTGTTCATGTATGTCGTTACCATCGTTTCGGTAATGACTAAGAATATGATTATTATTCCAACCCTAGTGGTCATATCATGTCGAGTCTGACTAAGATGATTATGTTACATGGTTTAGAGAACCAAGATCGATGTAGCATCTGACTTAAGACAAAAAAATTGATGTGAAAGATAATCGAAGCGGTCAATAGAAGTATCGCGAATAGCCGATAAAGTAAGAAGCTTGTAGCTAGAAGTGCTACATGCTAGAATGTGATTATATCACATTAGAACATGAAGGAAGGTGTAGTCTGTTCTGGAATTTGACTCTAAAAAGACTTGAGTCTAAGCGTTGCATCATACGATCATAGGTATTAGAATGTGGCCTATCGGTCCATTGTGGTAATCAAAGAACTTATCTCAAGTTTGTTAAGAAGAAGAAGGAGTCTCCAATAAGGATCTATATTGTGACTTGAAGGTCATGATTGAAAGTCTAAAATAATAAAGAGAGTGGGTGCAAGATCGAGCACTGCCTACATTCAAGAAGACCAAGAGTTAGATACTAATTCGAAGGAGCATAAATTATGATTATTACCTAGGATGAAGAAATAACGTACCGAGTCATTATACAACCCTGTTTCGTTGATGATTCGGGGACGTAATCATCCTAAGGGGGAGATAATTGTAACGCCCGCAGATTCGGGCTAGTCAATTTAGAGACAATAAGCGTCAAAAATGACTTTTTGATGGAAGGTTATTTAGAATGAATAATCTTAACTAAGTGTAGCAAATGTCACAAGGGCTCCGTACATATAAAGAACGCCGAAATCCGAGTTATAACGAAGAAGTTATAACTCGTAGAAGTTTTACAGCTAAACCGGCACGACGCCGCGTAACGTAAAAAGTGAATTTTTGATAAAATACTATTTAGCCTTATCGATCTAAACAAAAGTCGTAGTATACATTAAACCGGGCGTGTGCATAAAAAGAACGTCCAAATCTGACTTCGTATGAGGAAGTTACGATTTTTCTAAGATTTAGCATAATAGTGCACAACCCGAAAATTTGAATTTTAGATCGGTGGATTTTTAGCCAAAATAATCTAAACGAGAAATGAAGATATCGTTAATAGGAGTTAAACGATAAAAATACAGTCGAAAACGGAGCTCGTATGCGAAAGATATGGACGAAGCTTAGTCCATACTCTTCGAGCGCGATAAATTCAATACAGTTTTGTAAATCGGAGATAGAATGAGAATTAGCCGACGGGGTATAAATGAAAGTTGTAGTACTCGTAAATACCAACGTTTGGATATAAAGAACGTAGAAAACGAAGCTCGTACGCGGAAGATACGGACGAAACTTAGGGCTTACTCTACGATAAAACCCCTATAAATAAAGGGTGAATCCTTCATCTTTTCTTCACACCATAAGCCTTTATTTCTCTCTCTAACTTCTCTCTAGACTCCCAAAACCCCTCTAAATCCCTAGTAACCTCAAGTTGCTAGAGGAAAGATCCGGAGCGCCCGAAGGCTCCGAGAAAAAGAGCTTTTCGGCTCAGAAGCTCTGCTCCAACGGAGCCCGGTTTTTAATAAAACCAGTTGTAAGTGAGATACGCTTACCCTAATTTAAATATAGCTTATATTTAAATATAATATCGTTATTATGAACCTATAAATAAGATTTATCAGTGATTCAAAGTCGTTATACTGATTTATCTACTTACGGGGATGATGTCTAGGTTGTGATTTAGTGAGGTGTTTAAAGTGGGATTTCCAAACAGTATACTTCGTACACCAAACGGACCCTACCTCCGATATGATCCTACTGTAACATCCAAAAATTTTACGCCAAATTTAAACTTTTTCAATCATAAATAAAACCAAATAGTAATTGTTTACAAAATGTTTTCAATTATTATTCATCAGAGTGTCACAATAACCAGATCATAAAGATGAGGAGCGGTACGGTCACGCCTTCGCCTTGCCATGATCTCCTGAAGTACCTGAAACAATAAACTGAAAACTGTAAGCCCGAGGGCTTAGTGAGTTACCCCCAAAATACCAATACTACACTGATAATACTATATCTGTAATAATCAATCAATCATCATGCATATTGGGCCATCGGCCTGACTGGACCGCCCTACAGGGCCTACAGTCTAACTGAATCTATACCGAGCCTTCGGCATGACTGGACCGCCACGTGGGCCTACAGTCTCCCTGGACCGCTCATAGGGTGTGTTGGCCTTCAGCACAAAGCAAGACCGCCTCAACCCAAGCAACAAGCAAATAACCATGTGCGTATAACTAACATTTACTGGCATATATAAACATCGAACATATCTATCTCACTGATTACCAAACATAACAATCTCTCATAACTAGAGCACTGACCTAGCAGGTCACTAACATATCAATCCCTACCGATCATAAGATCATAACATACTGTCTATCCTGATTCCGATCTAAAAGATCATATCCACATTTAGCATACCATAACGATAACAACTAAAGGGTCGTCGTTGGTGCCTTAGACCCGATCGATATAGTGAGGATAACTCACCTTGCAGATGTCGACTCGGTAGATAAACTTCAACCCTCGGATCAGTGCCACAAACTCCACCACCTATTACCATAGTATGAATATACCCATAAGTCCTCAACCTTACAAGGTACTCCATAAACCTACTAGTCAACCCTTGGTCAAAGTCAAAGTCATCAGTCAAGGTCAACAGTCCATGTTGACCTTGACTCGCCGAGTACCCTCGGCTACTCGCCGAGTTCCTTGAAGTACTAACCCACTCGCCGAGTCACCTGAGTGACTCGTCGAGTTCCTTCGGTTTACGATCGAGACCCTAAGGCCACTCGTCGAGCTTCCCTCTTGCAACTCGACGGTTACACGCGCATACATAAATTGGGGAAACCCCAACCGACTCGCCGAGTTGTTCATCCACTCGTCGAGTCTACGGCAATCTTCATTGGACTCGCCGAGTTGTTCTTCCAACTCGCCGATTTCATGCCTATCTTCATATGACTCGTCGAGTCGACCATGCGACTCGCCGAGTCCCTTCAGTCCTTTTTGCCATACAGACTCAATTGATCCATGCAGCGGCTCCAAACTACAAATCCAAGCTTCTAAGGCATGCTTTTCACATAAAGTTGCAAACTTTACGTGCATGCATAGCTACAAAGGCTCTTAATGTCAAACCCAAGCTCACAATGGGGGTTTCATACTCAAAGAGGCTTCATACATGACCAAATTCGGAGCTTTATGACTCTAGAACCCAAGAAGGGTACAGATCTGAAGTTACAATTTCAGATCTAGCTCATATCCCACATTACCATCTCAACCAAACCATAAAAACCCTAGATCTCAACCAAAAGAGGTCTAGAAGGAAAAGAAGAAAAGGTGACGACTTGATACCTCCAAATGATGCTATCTGAGGTAGATTTCTGATTTCCCACCCTTCCTTGATCCTAGCCTTTTGTTCTCCAAGCTCTTCTTCTCAAAATATCTCCTCTCCAAAGCTTTAGACACACAAGAATGAAGCACCACACGAATTAGGGTTTTCTGAGCTCTCAAAGGACTGCAAAGAGGCCCAAGGAGGCTTATGCTTTCCTTAAATAGGGTGCAAAACCCCGGGATTTAGGGTTTCATCTGCCAGCTCCTACTCGTCGAGTCCCTTCATGGACTCGGCGAGTAGGCTACTAAATACGCGAACCAACCCGCTGCTACTCGACGAGTAGGGCAACCAACTCGTCGAGTAGGCCTTGAAACCAATTAAATTCTTATTTAAACAATACCTGAGAATCGGGGCGTTACACCTACATGGTTGTTCCTTACTTGATAGATCATGAAGTAGACTTTGAGTTAATGATGAATCTAGACTAATAATTAGTCGCAATAATTATTAGACTAAAATCTAGTGGTAATAATACTAGGTTTCTTCAAAGGAAATTATTTTTAAGAAGCGAAGCGATGTCTGAGTTCGGAATCACCACCTTAATAAGTGAGTGCATAGTCCCTTTCATGAACTTGATTTTAATACAAGTATTGATTGAAGTATTAAATATATTTTTATGTGTGAAATATTTGATGTTGCCTGAAATACGTGTTAAAAAGCATACCTGATAATATATAATGATTTAGGATAAAGAGTAAACCTAAATTAATTATGAGGAATATTAGGTAGTATCTTCTTATGAGTACGAGTAAGATATACACGGAGAATAGAACTTTAAATTATATCGTTGATCCGGGAGCATGGATTAGACATAGTCGTTCGTCCCTAGTCCGAGAGTATGGATTGGGCACAGTCATTTGTCATTAATCCGGGAGCATGGATTAAGACACAGTCAGTTGTCCTTAGTCCGAGAGTATGGATAGGACATAGTTATTTGTCATTAATCCGGGAGTATGGATTTAGACATAGACAATTGTCCCTAGTCCGAGAGTATGTAATAGACACAGTTATTGATCCGAGAGCATGGATTAGATTCGGTAAAAAGATAAATTTTAGATCCGAGAGTATGGACAGTGTCATTGAGAGGATTGACGGGGTGGGGTAAGAGTTGTTTATACATGGTGAAATTGTATACTTGTGAGTTCTAATATATATATATATATATATATATATATATATATATATATATATATATATATATAACATTATGGGATTGAAATCTCTATGTACTCACTAAGTTTCCCAACCTGACCCACTCAGTTTATTTGTATCACAGGTGTCGATATAAAGCTACATTACACTGAGAGATTAAGGAGATGTAGATCACTAGTGTAAATGAATGTAAGGTCTGTTTATGCTTATGTTTTGTATTGACGATGACATCCCAACGTTTTAAAATGAATAAAATACATTTCTTCGAAAATGCTTTGATAACGTATTTATCATGTTTTTCTAGGAATAAATTCCGCAACACTTTTCTTTAAAAGGTTACTCTGATTTTCAAAATAAAGCATAAACACATCGGTCTTTCCTGGCCGTGAAAATGAGGATTTCACACTATGAATAGATAGGACTCTATTTCGAAAAAATTTCACAAACCACCACTCATTTCCAAACCCGCCAAAAACCACCCACATACTTTGAAACAATTACTTACTCACCCCTCTCACTTTTTCTTCAACTAGCTGAACAATAAGTTTCCAGCTACTTGTCTCCAGTTTTTCATTAATGAAGAATTATAAACTTTACTCCAAATATTTCTTAAAAAGCAACTTTGAAATCTCTAGGGCATCCCCTTCAGCTTTCACAGGGTAAACCTTTGTACCTTGTTGCCATTTATTTGAGTATGAAATCCATTCTTTTCTCCATTCAACCACCTCAAACTTTTTGTTTTCTCTCAAGCTTTCATACAATCGTTTGAAATATATCGAAGCTCGTGGCAGATAGTAATCAACCAATAATCCACTCCAAAACTTGTTTGCTATTCATAAAAAGCCAAGAAGACAATATTAACCCCCATAAAAAAAGTTTTTGAATGAGTTTAAGTTGTTACCATAATCATGAAGCTGGCTTTGATTCGTTCTTGTTGTATCATACCACATTGTGACTTGTGTTCTTGCATTCCACTCATACTAAAACAACAAAAATCAAAAGTTACACATTGATTCATTTTAATAGTTAATGTTGAAACATGTTCATTATACCTGTTGTTTCTCGTGAGAGTTTAAAGCTAAGTTTTTTGCACTCTCAAGCCAAGTTCCAAGAAGAAAGTTATCATCTGCAGCAAGAAGTTCATCAATGTCGATGATCAATTCCTCAAACTTTTGGCTATGAAACTTCAAAGCCTTCGCATCCTTATGTTGAAAAGCAGTGATTGCATCTATATAGACTTGATTTGCAAACTTTGACAACACTTGTCGTGTTAGATCAACCAAATCATACCTGTAAAGTTCCAATTTTTATTTTAACTATTTAAAAAAAAAATGTGTTCTTGAAAAGTACCTGTAAGTGAGGCTTCCAGAAAGATCCTTCCCAGCTTCAATGAATAGCTTCAATGCGTTAATGGAATCGTGAATTGAGTACCATAAATGTGGTTGAGGCAATGTAGACTTAACTTCACTTAAAACATGTCTTTGGTTGATATGTGTTGTGATGAGGCTTCGTTTGGAGAAACTTGAGTAGTTGTCTAAAGATGGGTCCCAATCGGGAAACTTAACAATGTAATCTGTGTTGTGATCCTAATAAGAAAGATAAACAATGTTAAACCGGTAGACAACAGACAGTAGACGGTAGACAGGTGATAGTAAACTAGACAGTAGACAGTTGACAGTTGACAGAAGCCAGTATTTTTATAAACGGGAAACACGTACGGCAATTCCATCACTACAATTATAAATTGATCGATGAAGAATTTCCCATGCTTCCTCAGCTTGTTTTACTGTTTTGCCATAACGTCTACGAGAATAGACTTTCAACCATTCCTGTATTAAATATAGTTTAAAAAATTTTCAGATATTCATATCTGTAAAACTTTTATGAAAAAAGATATTTTAATTTCTATCACCTCCACATGAACTTTATTCTTTTGAAATGCCATTTCAGGCATCAACTCATAAACAACAGGATTGTGTTCTATTCCTTCCATACACATCCCCACACCAACCTTCAAAAAAAACAAGAATGTATTTTTTAATTTCTTTAAATTGTTGTAATTTATCTAGATGTTAATCATATTATTACTTTATTAAAGCCTACCATAGTTGAGTTATCACTGACACGTGCAACAATAGGACCCGATGCAAGTGTATCCAATACACCATACATCTCAATGTTCCCTCCAAAGTTATGTAGCATACACCTGATTTATATTAAATAGCAATTAATTTTTTCGAGTAAATTACAAAAACTTCCAGGGGCAATTGTGTAAAATGATCATATTTTACCAGACATAAGGGGTGCCATAGAATTGAGAGGATGATTCCCATACGGGTTTTACATCAGCAAAAAGATCAAGAACTATCATTTTCCCAAATGGAACCGAATGCAAGAGCGCCTGTTACACAATTTTTTTTATATATAAAAAATCATGAATCAGAGTCATAAATTCTTTCAAGAATTCTTTAGAGAAAGCATACTTTCATTTGTGGTGGTTTCCAGAATGATGAGTCTGAATAGAAGAGCCAACCCTGCATAAGCCATACAGCATTCTTGTCTGCTTTTGACATTGCTTCATAAACAGCAGATCCAAGAGATGATATATATGCTGGATCACTTGTTGGAGGTGAATTCTCATTGAATGTATCACTGTTTACAAGATCATAATCATTAAAGATATAAAAATTTTGGTGCAAAAAACTATTACAAATGAATAAAGATAATAGAAGCGTTACCAGTTATAGATGTCTGTCACATCGCCATATTCTACAAAAAGAAAGAAAAATTAAAGTGAAGACTTTTAGGATTATGGAAATTGAAAGGGTTAATGGAGACATGTGTCACCTTTGATTTGTTTTTTTATGAACGCCTCTCCAATTTGTATAAATAAAGGATCAGAAGGATCTAGAAGGTAAGTACAACACCACCTAGGATTTTTATCAACAGTGTTCCTATAAAAATATTAAGCATACAACATATTAATAAATGTATCACTGAATAAAAAAGTCACATTCAAGATAACATACCAATCTCCAAGCCTAGTTATATTTGCAGATGGGAATATCTCTCTTAAGGCCTCAGGTACATTTCCAGAAAATGAAGGGAGCACTATAAAGCAAATATATTAAAAAAATATATGTAAATGGATACAAACAATTGTTAAAACTTAAATATGAATGATTTTGATATTATAAAATGATGACCTGGCGTCATGCCTAACTCAATCATCCGAGATAATATTTGTTTTTGTAACACCAACTGTTGATCAAGCCAGTTTTGAGATAATGGGCCACCCCATCTGATACATTTGTTATAAAGGGATAAATTAAGAAAGATTTGATCATGTTAATGTAATAGTAATGATATATACTTTATATGTTAAATTGTTAATATTAAGGTTATATATACAATGTAAATGATTTAATAAAGATTGATGAATAAATAGACTCACGCATGCAAGTTTCCCATTCGTGCCCATGCAAGAAAAGCAGGTCCACCAAAGAAATTGTTTAAATCTTGTGCACTAATATTAAAATCCTGTGATGAAACAGAAATAGTTTTATAAATTATTAATTGAAAATGTATCATCTATGTAAAGAAAAAATATGATTAGAAAAATGGTTATTGTAACATATGTAATAAAAGAGAGATTGAATTCACCATAAAAACTTTCTGCCAAATGGATTCTTGTCCTGTAAATGCAAGAGGCAGATTAATTCCTTGAAGTGCCATCCAATCAATTTCTTTCTCCCATCTTTCCCAATCCCACCAAACATAGGAATCTATTGATTATGATATGAAATCATGTTTATCATCTTTTGAATACAGTGGCATAAGCTAAATGATGAAATTGGGACATTTTTATAGAATACTTACAGCTAGAAGTGACTACATTTTGGTAGTAGTTCCATGGAACAGGACGCTGAATCATAATCCCATGTTCTTTTACGGGTGGCAAAGATCCAGGAGGAGGGATAGAAGCTATTTGAACGCCACCTGTCTTGTCCCATGACACATGAGCATCACACAAATACTTTAAGTACCAATGGAGCCCAGATGCAATTTCAACTGCTGTTGTCCCTTGAATCCTGATGGAAATCAAGAGTGAGAAGAATTGTTTTGAATCTTTTCCAATTGAAATGTACAATTTTGATGGTTAATCTAATCCGGAAACTTTTAGATTTCATATGGGAGAAGGGGAGCAATAAGTAGACTGTATATACGTTATCTCTGGAGATTTGTTGCTTGAATTCTGATAATTCGTTATCCAAAAGCAGCTGTATCCACCACAAGCATCCTAAAAGTTCAGATGAATTCAAATTAGATTGATTACTATGTTAATTTAGAAAATGCGTGATTCTACTACGAATACAAAATTATTGGTGTTCGACTGGTATGCGTCTTCGATACACGTTCAAGGTGGGGGTGAAAGCCCTCTACAATTTCTGTGATTATTCTTAAATTTGAAAACAAGAAAAATAAGAAGTAAGATGGGGAATTTAACCTTGGAGATTAGCTTGAACTGAAAACTGGACAAATGGGTAGGAAGCAGTCTCTTGAGAAGAGCTTTAGCAGCAGATTCTTGTAACAATGGAGATGGTCTCTGGGTATCCAACCGTTTGACCAAAGACTCTATTGCTTGTGGAGATGACGATGACGTTGATGATGATAGGGGTAGTAGAAGAAGTAAAATTAGAAAAGATAATTTCGAATCGAACATGATTTGGGTCTGATTACGAGTGGAATTGAAGAGAGGAGTGAACTGTGAAGTCAAGTGGTGTTTCCTTCTTCTTTGGCTTTGTTCATCGAGGCCTTTTGTTAGTTCTTGGGTGGGGTAAAAGAAAATGGATTTGTCATTTATCTGATTATGTTTGGCAACACTCAGCAACGCGAATTCTACAGACGCCGGCGCAAAGTTCCACCACCGTGGATAAATAAATGTGAGAACATATATCCTTAATAAACATAAAAGTATTATTTGCTCAATCTTATCTTTAAATATTAATCATTTAAAATTTAAAATATTAGATTTGCCTAAATTTTATTTTTTTAACATTATAATTATAAAGAAATATAGAATACCCATAATACCCCTCCCTCTATAAAAAAATATGAAAAACCCCTAATACCCAAAGCGTTGTCTTCAAGAACTAGATATATCCTTAAACCACCTCAAGAAAGCCTAAAGAATCTACAAAAGTTAAAAGTGTTGAGTCTTTACGGTAATTCTCTTTATGGATATTTACCCCAATTTTCATTTTGCAGCCGAAAACACTTTATCTTGATTTTAAGATTTGAATAGAGTGCCAACTAAAAGCAGTGGCGTATCCAGCCCGGAAGTCAAGTGGGTGCACAGTTGACCGTTGATCTTGGAAAATAATAATAATAATAACATTAAAATTTTCAACTAAATGTCATTTTACAATTGAAATCTACGAGGACATATAACTAAGAAACGGTTGATAATATTTTCAGTTGTAACCTTCGAAAATCCTTCTCTTTCAACCACACAAATTACATAATCATTTAAAAATTCATCCGAAATTCGATTCCGTAAATCCAACTTCACAAGTTTCATCGCGGAAAAACATCTCTCCACGGTTGCGGTTGCAACCGGCAAGACCAATGACAACTTCACTAACCGATAAATCAAAGGAAAAGAGAGATGCACATCGGTTTCCACCATCACTTTAGCAAGGTCGGATATACTCTTCAAAGTAGCAAATCTTTCATCTTGTTACATATGAGAGGGGTAAACCGAAAGTTCATGTAGAATATTCATCCTATCTTTGTAGCTAAAATCATGTGGATAGAAATCGATCAACTTCCGTAACTTTGATGGGTCAAAATCACAAAGAGAATCACGTGGATTCAAACCCGTCATACAAATAAGCAATTCGGAAGCTACTTCACTAAAACGATCACCGAGCTCTTGGATTTACATATCCAAAACCATGTTAAAACAACAAAACTCGTAATAATGGCGATTGAAGATATTTGTATGTTGTCTTCGATTTCTTGGATTAACATAAACTTCCTCCATGTTCAATATTCGAATTTCATTATTCTCACAAAAAGAGGTGATGTCCAACATAAGTGAATCAAACCCATCATTTCTCATCTTTTTTAATGTTGCAGCGGTTGATTTCACCAAACTTATAGCATTCACGATATCTTGATCCTTTCTTTGTAGAGCTTGTGACAATATGTTTGTGATCCCCAAAATTTTCAACATCAACTGCAAATGGAACACAAAATCGAATGATCGAAAATATATTCGAAGACTACTTGCTTGACGTTGACTAAAACTATTAAGGCCTTCATCTTCAACATATTCAAGCACATCAATAACAGATGAAAACAAACCAACCAAACGCGATAGAGTTTTGTAATGAGAATTCCAACGTGTATCTCCAGCTCTAGTAAGAGAAAGCTCTTCGTTTAATCCACTTCCAGTGCAATTTCACCACGGCCAATGGATTCTTCTAGTTTATCTTTTTGACTTTCGCGCATCATATATGTTCGTTTACAAAAAGCACACACAACATTCATTAAAACAGCTACCATATCAAAAAAGTCTCCAACATCGTGATGTTTTTTTGCAACCGCCACAACAACTAGCTGAAGTTGGTGAGCAAAGCAATGGACATAATATGCAGATGTATTTTCTCTCATGATTAAAGATTTGAAACCGTTAAACTGCCCACTCATATTGCTTGCTCCATCATAACCTTGACCCCTAATCTTCGTCAAACTCAATCCATATTCAACAAAATAAAGAGTCGATAGCAGATTTTAGCGACAACGCGGATGTCTCCTTCACATGAACAAAACCAATAAACCTTTCTTTAACAATCCCACATGTAACATATCGCAAAACTACCGCCATTTTGGATTCGTCAACTAATAAAGCAAAAATATCATCACCAATTTCTTCAAAAATTGATTTAAGTACTTCTTGTGCGAAACAATGAGAGATATCCTTTTGAATGCATGGAGCCACCATTTGATTGTTCCCCGGAGCATTTTGTAATGTAACTTTATATACACTCTCATTTTGTTGACGAATCAAATACAATGTTTCCAAGAAATTTCCTCTAAAAAGAGACATTTCAGACTCATCGTGACCACGAAAAGGTAATGCGCATTTCAACAAATATCTACAAGCATCAATGGAAGCAGTTAAACGGATTCGATGTTCTCTCTTAACAATCTCATTTTGCTTATGAAGAGCAGTAGCAACTGATTGATTTTGTCTTATTAAATCTTCACATTTTTTAAGGGAAATGTAATGTGAACTGTTAACATTATCTCCCTCGTGAGTTTTAAATCTTTCTGGTTTATTCCAACTAGTAAATCCTTCCGTCACAAAAGCATCACCCCCACCCTTTTTACTTGATCCATCTTTAAATAAATAATAACACAAACAAAATGCTTCGTCTTTTTTCACACTATACTCCAACCAATTTCTGTAGTCATTAAACCAAGTCGGGTTAAAGTATCTTGTTCTTTTCCCTATAACTCTTGGTGGAAACTTGTGAGCACGCGGTTGAGAAGGTCCTCTAATCAAATATTTTCTCCTTATTTGAAGGATCATATATTTCTTTTTGATTTCGAAACATCCTGTTTTCTTTCTCATGGATCCTGTACATCGTTAATATCTCATGACATTGGGGGAATTGCTCGTGACCCACAAGATTTGTTATCCCAGAGCGTTCATAGTTCGAATAGTGTTTTGCGTATCGAGGAAATGGAAGATCATCTTACATCGATGATTGGATTGTATGTATTTGACAAGCCTTGCAAGTTGTTTGTTTGTCATTGGTCGATGGAAGACCAGGAAGAGTAGTTTTATCGTCGTCTATGGACTCTCACAGGTTATGGAATCCATGAAGCGAAATAGGTGTACCGATCTTTAACCTAAACCAGTGACACAAATAACTTTGTGGTAATGCCAGAAGCAAATATATATATATATATATATATATATATATATATATATATATATATATATATATATATATATAGACGAATGTTAGTATTGGGCACATACTATCATAAACACATGATATATATTTGGGACTGGAGGAACCACGATGAAACCCGAAGACCTATTTGGAATAGTTGTATTGATGATAGAACTTTTTTGTGTCATTTTTTTCTTTTGTGCTTGTTTTGATGTACCTTAGTGACTGTTGATCTCGACGTTAGATAGTAATGCGACTGTAGGAGATCTAGCCTCGGTCTAGGAAGATGTTTTATGCGTGTGGAATTATTGTAGATGACCACATTTTTCCTTAACGTCGACTTTCTTTTGGAATCTAGTCGTTCGATATTGTCATCGGTATGGGTTGACTTCCCACCAACCAGACCGAAATTCTCTACATTGAAAAGTGTGTGCGTATTCCGCTTGTCGAGGGAGGGTATTTCTAAGAAAAAAAATCTATTCTAGAGTCCGTTCCTATAATTCCTATGAAGATGGCACTCTAGAGCCTAGCGAGGTGATGTGAGGTCTTCTTGACTTGTGCGATTGAAAGTTCAACGAAGACAATGAGTCTCTTCGATGTGGAGTTTGATAGGGAATATAACGACGTTTTTCCATGATGAGTTGTCGAGTGTATAAACACCATATAATGTAGAGCTTTAGTTTGACCATATTTCTGGTGTGGCTCCAAAGCCAAAGCATAATTTAAGTTGGTTCATTTGGTAATGATGTTGTAGCTTCACAAGCTGTTTGAGTGTTGGTTATTCGACCATAGTTCCTCGTCTTTTGAAGCGTTGGTCCAATTCGTTAAATGGAAGATGATACAAGCGGTCGAGTATCAATTTTCTAAGATTGAATAAGATCAAGATGAAAACACGTAAGAATCGACATCCTATTTTGGTTTGAGGTGTGATCATGCAACGAGGGAAGGTGATTATGTCTACTTTGTGACAGAGGACTCTAGGATTCGTTTCCATCATTTGCGCGTTGTGGTTAGTAAGTGACTAGTGAGGAGGTGTGGGGTTTCCCTTGGATCATGCAATAGAGGGATCAAGGTAATTAATGGTTATATTTTGTGGAAGTGGTCAAGGAGATACGACCAAAAACCATCGAAGGGTGATACTGAAAGACTCTCCTTGGATGAAAATTATTTATTTTGAAAATTGAGGCAGGTTAAGAGCCAACTGTCTTGCTGATAGACAAGTTGCGAGTCGACTAGTTGATGCACGAGATGTGAGAGCAGGTAGATAGTTTGGTCAGAGAGACCAAGAAGTAGTGGAAGAATCGAGTCAAACTAGTCAAAGTTTCGATAGGAGGGCATGTACAGGTCAGAAGTGACCTATGTGATTGAAGACATGAAGGTTTGTTACCCTAGGTCGTTCGTATCGGCAATTAATTCCGAGGACGGAATCATTTTAAGGAGGGGAGAATTGTAACGACCCGAAAATCCTACTGTAAACAATGTTAGTTTTCCGTTACACGAATATTTATTTTTGTAAAATGATTTTGGTTTTAAGGATTATAAATCAAAATAAATTAAATAAAAATGGTGTATGCATAATTTGTTGGAATATTTAGGATAAATATGATTCATTTAAAAGTTATAAAGGTTGAGGGGGTAGAATGTAACTTTAGAAATATGAAACGTTACATTAAAATAAGATTGGGATGATTATGGATTAATGGAGGGAAGACGAGGGACTATTAGCGTAACTTGAAATTTACATGTAATTTGATTCATGCGTTTCCTCACAAAAAACTGACAAACGTCCGTCGGTTCCTTTGCTTTTGGGTTTTAAGGTTTAATGTGTCTCTTACGGAAATTCTTAGGGACCAAAGTTGTAAGATTGCTAAATAACTCCTCATCAATTAGGGGGAACGATCGTACGTTTCTCTTCGTTACATTAACACCGACTTCTCAATTTCCGCCTTCCACTCTAGAAAACTGTCCACATCTTTTCATTGGTG